TTCTCTCTCGTCATTGATGGTTCTGTCTCTCTCCTCCCCTCCTCTCCGAAATCAGTAAAAATATATATTTTTTAAATAAAATAGAACACTGACAGGTCTTCTTCGTTCATCCACTACATGGAGGCCTCATCTTTGAGCCAGGTGGCTTTGGTTACTAGTGTCAGGGTTCAGTAAATGACAATCAGATGCAAGGTGAAGGTTTTTTTTTATGAACCCAAAACTAACTAAGTAACTGTTTTTTGTGTTGTTGGGGTTTTTTTGTTTGTTTTTTTTTTGTTTGTTTGTTTTCTCAAAAAGGACATTTTTAAGGACAACAGACATTTGCATATGGTCTCTGTATTAGCTGATACTGAGGAATTAATGTTATTTTTATTAATGTGGTAATGACATTGCAGTGGAAATAGTCCACATATTTTGGTCCATCTGAAGTAGGGGTGAATGATGAAAGTCTGGGATTTGCCACCAGGGAAATGCTCACAGAAAAAGCAGATTGGGCCAAATTTGGGGGATTGTGGAATCGAGGTGATGGGTATCAGTGGGGCTCAGTACTCTGTGCTCTTCATCAACAGTGATTGGGAATATTCATGTTGACTTCTTAAGTGTTTGATCTGCCCTCCTGAGCCCACAGTTGACCTGCATCTGCAAAACGGTGTGCTTATCCGGTCAGAGCCACCAGGTCAGAGGCATCTGTTGGAAAGTACGCTGCCACCAGCCCAGAGCCAGGGAAGCCAAATGCCATCTGAAAGCTGCCATTTGCCTTCAGCTTATCCAGAGCTGTTGATTCTGGGGTGAGGACCAAGATGTTGATCTACATAGAGCTGATTTCACCAGCCCCAGAGAATGGAGAGATGGCCTTTTTTAGAATTATTTTTAATGTGTTTTTATTGATTTTCTTTTATTTAAAAAAAAAAAAAAGCTTTATTGTTGAAAGTATTACGTATGTTCCCTTTTTTCTCCCTTGACCCTTTATAGCCCACCCATGCTCCCCGCCCCAGCCCTTCATCCTATTGTTTGTGTCCCTGGGTTGTGTATGTCCTATCTAATAAAAGAGTAATATGCAAGTGTACCATCACTCCAACACACAAGATGGCTGCCCCCATTTGGACACAAGATGGCCAGCAGGGGTAGGCAGTTGGGAGGGACCAGGCCTGCAAGGGAGGGCAGTTGGGGGTGATCAAGTCTGCAATCGAGGGCACTTAGGAGTGACCAAGTTGGCAGAGGAGGGAAGTTGGTGGCAATCAGGCTACAGGGAAGGGCATTTGGGGGAACCCAGGCCTGCAGGGGAGGGCAGTTAGGGGTAAACAGGCTGGAAGGAGAGCAGTTAGGCATCAATCAGACTGGCAAGGGAGTGGGTAGGGGGTGATCGGGCTGGCAGGCAGAGCGGTTATATGAGTTAGATCATGTGATACTTAGCTCTGACTGGCTTATTTTGCTTAGCATAATACTCTCCAGGTCCCTCCATGATGTAAATGTACTACAGCTTTTTTATCCACTCATCTACTCATAGGCACTTGGGCTGCTTCCACATCTTAGCTATTGTAAATTACACTGCTATGAACATGGGGTGCATACTTTCTTTCTGATTGGTGTTTTGAGTTTCTTAGGATATATTCCTAGAAGTTGGATCACTGGGTCAAATGGCAGTTCCATACTTAATTTTTTTAGGAAACTCCATACTGTTTTTTATAGTAGCTGCACCAGTCTGCACTCCCACCAGCAGTGTACTAGGGTTCCCTTTTCTCCACAACTTTGCCAGCATTTGTCATTTGTTTTTTGGTGGTTTTTTTTTTTTTAATTTATTATATTTTATTGATTTTGTACAGAGAGGAAGGGAGAGAGAGAGTTAGAAACATTGATGAGAGAGTCATCGATCAGCTGCCTCTTGCACACCCCCTACTGGGGATATGCCCGCAACCAACGTACATGCCCTTGACCGGAATCGAACCTGGGACCTCTCAGTCCCCAAGCTGACGCTCTATCCATTGAGCCAAACCGGTTTCAGCAGTATTTGTCATTTGTTGATGGTAACCATTCTGACGGTTAATTTGTCATTTTAATTTGCATCTCTCTAATGATCAATGACTTTGAGGATTTTTTATATGTCTCTTGGCCATCTGTATGTTCACTTTGGAGAAGTGTCTATTTAGGTTCTTTGCCCATTTTTTAAATTGCATTGTTTGTCTTCCTTTGGTTAAGTTGTATTACTTTCTTTTATAATTTGTATATTAACCTTTGTCAGCTGTATCATTGGCAAATATGTTCTCCCAGACAGTGGGCTCCCTATTTATTTTGTTGATAGTTTCTTTTTTGCTGTGCAGAAAATTTTTATTTTGATGTAGTCCCATTTGTTTTTCTCCTTAATTTATTTTGCCCTAAGAAATTTATCCATAAACACATTGCTATTTTTAAGTTATCTATTTTATGTTTATTCTAGTGTATGTTATAAGTTGGTGGTCTAGTTTCATAATTTTGCATGTATCAGTCCAATTTTCTTTTTCTTTTTTTAAATATATTTTATTGAATTTTTACAGAGAGGAAGCGAGAGAGATAGAGAGCTAGAAACGTCAATGAGAGAGAAACATCGACCAGCTGCCTCCTGCACACCCCCTACCGGGGATGTGCTGGCAACCAATGTACATGCCCCTGACCGGAATCGAACCCGGGACCCCTCAGTCCGCAGACCGACGCTCTACCACTGAGCCAAACCGGCTTTGGCTATCAGTCCAATTTTCCCAATGCCATTTACTAAAGAGACTGTCTTGACTCCATTGTATGCTCTTGATTCCTTTGTCAAATATTAATTGAGTGTAATGGTTTGGGTCGATTTCTGGGGTCTCTGTTCTGTTTCATTGATCCATTTCCCTGTTCTTGCGCTGGTATCAGGCTGTTTTGATTATAGTGGCTTAGTAATATTACTTAATATCTGGTACTGTGATTCCTTCAACTTTGTTCTTTCTTAAGATTGCTATGGCTATTTCGGGATTTTTCTGGTTCCATAAAAGTTTTTGTATCTGTGAAATATGCCATTGGTAATTTAATAGGGATTGCATTGAATCTATAGATTGCTTTGGGTGGTATGGACATTTTAATGATATTAATTCTATCAATCCATAAACATGGTATAATCTTCCATTTCTTCATATCTTCCTCTATCTTTTTCAAGTGTCCTGTAGTTTTTGGAGTACAAGTCTTTTTGGTTGCTACAGTAAATAGGATTGTTTGTTTTCTTTCTCTCTCTGAGAATTCATTATTGATGTATAAAAATGCCATTGATTTCTGATTGTTAACTTTGTATCCTGCTACATTGCCAAAATCATTTATTAAATCTAGTATTTTTTTTTTTTTTTGGTGGAGTCTTTAGAGTTTTCTATCTATAATACGTCATCTACAAATAATGAGGTTTTTAATTTCTCCTGTCTAACTTGGATGCCATTTATGTTTTCTTCTTGTCTGATCACTTTGTCTAGCACTTCTAGTGTTATGCTGAATAAGAGTGGTGAAAGGGGGATATCCACATCTGCCTGCATTCTTTTTTTTTTTTTTTTTAAATATATTTTATTGGTTTTGTACAGAGAGGAAAGGAGAGAGATAGTTAGAAACATCGATGAGAGAGAGTCATCGATTAGCTGCCTCTTGCACACCCCCTACTAGGGATATGCCCGCAACCAAGGTACATGCCCTATGACCGGAATCAAACCCGGGACCTTTCAGTCCCCAAGCCGACGCTCTATCCATTGAGCCAAACCGGTTTCGGCAACATCTGCCTGCATTCTGATTGTATTTAGTCTTGATTAGCCCCTGGCTATAAACTATACTGTGGGGTGAGAGGTTTTTTCATCAGGGTAAGGAAGTTACTTCTGCTGCAGGTTGATTGCTATTAGTCTCTTAATGGGTCTTGGAAACTCCACAGGAAGGGGTAAGGGGCTTTCCGATAGGGTGGGGCAACTGCCTTTCCCCAGGCAAAAAGCACCTGGGTCCCAGAGGTTCAAAGGAGAAAGATGCCTTCTGCAGCGTGAGGGGATGACTCAGCACAGGAAACCAGGGTATCTGCCTTCTGAGGTCTTACCCTAGAACCCCCAACCCTGGCTTCTGCTCACACAACTCCAGTCCACTCTGCCAAGGTGAGTGGCTGCCCCCCAAATTTTGTGCATTGACCCTTTGTGAGTGTGCTGGCATTTCAAGTCATCTCTTGCTGGCAGACAGCAGTCCTGCTGCTTTTCCTCGCCGGATGTTATGTGAGCACTTTTCTCAAGTTCTAGTGCTCTGTGAAAGGGAGCCCAGTATGGGCTTTAGGCCCCAGAGTTCTCAGTGGGAATCCCCTACAGCTATGATAACCCTCTAGAACTTCAGCTGCTGTCTATGGGAGCCCAGCCAGCCCTCCTTTTGGGCCTTTGTACTTCCTGTCAGTCTCTGTGTGGTCTCAGCTTTCTTTCTTTATTTTTTAATGTATTTTTATTGATTTCAGAGAGGAAGGGAGAGGGGGAGAGAGAGAGTCAGAAACATCAATGATAAGATAGAATCGTTGATCGGCTTCCTCCTGCATGCCCCACACTAGGGATCGAGCCTACAACCGAGGAATGTGCCCTTGACCGGAATCAAACCTGACACCCTTCAGGCCGCAGGCCAATGCTCCATCTACTGAGTCAAACCAGCGAGGGCCAGTCTCTATTTTCTGTCCTTGGTTATCAGGGTTCTCTCCAGATTTTCTGTGTTTTCATTGTAATTCCAGTTTGGTCCTGGGAGTGTGTCAGTGTAGCTTCCACTTATGTCACTGCTGATTTTGGAGTCCACTGTTTTTATTGATTTTATAGAGGAAAGAAGAGAGAGAAAAGAAACCCCTCGCTGCAACAGAGAAACAGATTGTTTGCCTCCCATCTGCACCCTGACTGGGAATGGAATCCAAAACTTTTTGGTGCAGGGGAGGACACTCAACTAACAGAGCCACCTGGCCAAGGAGAGTTGGCCTTCTTTGAAACAAAACCTTTCCCTTTGTTTTGTAGGACCACCATGAGGCCTCAGACCTTCTATGATGGGAGTCACTCCTGTGCCAGAGGAGTGTGCCATATCCCCATGGCCGAGCCGTTCTGCCCCAAAACGAGAGAGGTTTGTAATCTGTCTGGAAAGTACGCCAAAGTAAATTGTAAGGGCTTGGGTGGGCAAGTAGAGTTAACCATCCAGACATCCTTCCTGACAAAGCTGGGCCCAGGTGAAGCCGCCTGCCCTCCAGCACCAGCAGCTGCGGCCTGGGAGAGGGAAAAAAAGCCACCTGCCCTGTGGTGCCCGGTGCCAGTGCCAACAGCTGCAGCCCGGGAGAGGGAGAAAAATCACCTGCCCCTGGCAGCAGGCCAGAGGGAGGGAAACCTGGGTCCCAGGTGCAGGGCCCAGGCAAAGGCGGTTAGGGTGATCAGGCCAGCAGGGGAGCAGTCAGGAAGGCAGAGAGGTTAGGGGCGATCAGGCAGGCTAGTGGTTAGGAGCCAGCAGTCAGGATTGTAAGGGGCAATCTGGACATCCCCTGAGGGGGTCCCAGCTTGGAGAGGGTGCAGGCCGGGCTGAGGGGACACCCTGTTCTTCCTCCTGCCCAGTGCCCCCTGTACAAAATTCACCTGAGCCTCTAGTTGGCTAATAAGAACATGGTCCCTCTTCCTCTCAAGTTTATGTTCTATGCGAGGTTTTGTGAAAGTTGTTTACTTTTGCTAATAATGCTTTCACTACTGTCCATCATTTGTAAGCTGAATCACTCAGAGTAGCAACCTACTTTTTTTTTTTTTTTTTTAATAAGTTTTGATTTTGCTGTCAGAATATTTTTTAAATTTGGTGTAAACTACATATTAGTTAAGAGTCTATAGTCTGGAACCAGTTTACTTGGGATTCAGTGTCTGTTCTTTAGCATAATAGCTGCATGTCATTGGAAAAGTTACTTAGCACCTCTGAGCCTCAGTTTCCTCATTTGTAAAATGAAGGTAATGATTACATATACCTTTTGGAACTGTGAGGGATAAAAGAGTTAATACCTAGAAACATATCCTATATCATAAAAGCCCAGCAACCAAGCAGCAGAATGACCAGTCAACCAGTCACTGTGACACGCACTGACCACCAGGGGGAAGATGCTCAATGCAGGAGCTTCTCCCCCGCCCCTGATCAGTGCACTCCACAGTGGAAGCACTGCTCGGCTGACCTGTCCCCGCAGGACATGCCCCCCCACCAGTGCACGAATCCCGTGCATAGAGCCTCTAGTATTAGAATGCAAAAGTCCAATGATTGGTAGCTGCATTTATGAGTTAAATTATTGTTATTGCTGTTCTATACATTGTCGGGTTGTCATTTATGTTTGAGCTGAGTTTGACCATTACTCCCCAGTCTTTTCTCCTAGATCAGAGTAAAATCTCAGAACAAAGCGGCCAGCCTCACAGAAGTCGGCATTAGGCCTTAGCCCTCAGAGAATAAAAATGGCTATCACAATTCAAAAGTCCGTCTCTTGCTCCACGCATGGTATTTTTCATATAATCCAGGTTTGGAAGTCAGGTGCAACCCAACAGATTAGAAGCATTGTCAGTGATGTACTAGCTTGTGAGATCAACTTTTAAATTGATGTACAGACTATGAATACCTACCCGTGTTAGTCTTTCGGCTAATTTTAACACCTGCATATGGAAAAGCAGAGTTGTCGTAGCAGAGAGGAAGGGAGAGATTGCCATAGCTTCTATATTGTAAAACCAGTTTCTGTGAAGTCATCAGCAACAGCATCTTTCCCTCACCCCACCCTTAAAGGACCCACAAACAACAGAATCTAAAATTCATGGTTAAGGGTTGTGGGGAGCCATTTAAGGTGAACCCTCGTGCATTCGCTCTGAGTTCTGTGAAAATACATGTTTTACTTGTTTAAAAAAGTGGCAGGTTCAGTGTGTACATATGATGCATTTAGGTGTATATATTTCTGGGTAGTTACGAGCAGAGTATATCAGAATGTTGCCAGTCTTCCCTCTGAAACACGGATCTGCCCAAACAATTGATTTGCTCTCCAGCAGAAACTAGATGTGTATAAAATTCTTGACAATTTCAAAATGGGGGCGGTTTGGGAAGGAATACGGTAGACCTAGGGAGATAGTGTAGGAGATTGAAGGTCTTTCCCCAGGCAGAAAATAGTAATGGTACAGTATCAGGGGAAGAAGTGGGCGGCAGAAGGGCTAGTGATGCATACAGAGCACATGTAAATGTCGTGGCGGGTGAAATTTGCCAGTAATAGAATGTAAAGAGATGAAAATGAGAATATTTATGTGCAAATAGAGTGTATCTCTTAGAAAGGTAAACTGCACATGGGGGCATGGGTGGAAGAATGATATCATTTTGTTCTTATCATTTGTTCTCTGCAAATTTTACCTATTTCAAAATTGGTATCACTTCTAGTCATTTTAGGAGGTGATTTGATATACGCTCTGAGAGTATTGACTCATGAAATGCATTTTGGCTGGTGGTCTGATATTGCTGATATTTACAGACAAAGATGATTAATTCAAGAGTTCCGATATGATAACCTGAAACATGGAAAAGAGAGCAGCTTAGCCTCAGAGACCCAGAAATCTCTCAGCTTGTCTTTTGTGTTTCTGACACCTTAAGGTGGTGGTGCAAAGGGGTGGTTCAAGCAGAGAGGCCCCCCGTCCGAATCCAAGAGCTGCTGCTTCCTCCTCCTCCCGTCATGGCCCCCACCTCCCAGGGTGATGGCGAACACCTGTTGCCTCAGCTGTTGGTAGCTATGATCTTCCTTCACTGGTCTCTAGAAGCACTCTAGGTTGGCTGAGACCCCGACAGCTCGGTTATTTGAGATATATATATATATATATCAGAGAGGAAGGAAGAGGGAGAGAGAGAGAGAAACATGAATGATAAGAGAGAGTAATTGATTGGCTGCCTCCTGCACACCCCCTACTCGGGATCAAGCCTGCAACCCAAGCATATGCCCTTGGCCAGAATTGAACCCGGGACCTTTCAGTCCGCAGGCTGACGTTCTATCCACTGGGCCAAACTGGCTAGGGCATTTTTTATTTTTATTTTAAAAGACATTTGATGAAGACAGGACAATGCTTGTTATATAACTTAAATCCTCACCCAAGGATATGTTTTTATTGATTAGAGAGGGAGAGGGGGAAGGAGAGAGTGGGGGGCAGAGAGGGAGAGAGAGAGAGAGAGAGAGAGAGAGAGAGAGAGAGAGAGAGAGAGAGAGAGAGAGAGAGAGTTTGATTAGTTGCCTCCCATACGTGCCTGGATTAGGAATTGAAAGCACAACCTTTTTCATGTATGGGCTGACACTCCAGCCAATTGAGCCACCTGGCCAGAGCTGGTTATATATTAATTTTGAAAAAAGGAAGGGAGGAATGATTTAGGTCCTTGTATTTATAACCTTTACTCTTTTTTTTTTTATGCTCAATTTTCATTTATAAAAAATAAGCCAAGGATATACAATAGAGAAAGAATAGTTTCTTCAATATATGTTTGGGAAATTAGGCAGCCACATGCAAAAGAATGAAATTGGACCCAAAACTCAAATGGGTTAAATACTTAAACTTAAGGCCTGAAATCCTAAATCTTTTAGAAGAAAACAGGGAAAAAGCTTCTTGAATTGGCAATAATTTATTTTGGATTTGATATCAAAAGCAAGGCAATGAGAATAAAAATAACCAGTTGGGACGACATCAGATTAAAAAGCTTTAGCACAGCAAAGGTAACCAACAAAATGAAAAGGCAACCTGTAGAATGGAGAAAATATTTTTAAATTGTATATTTGATAAGGTGCTAACAGCCAAAATATATAAAGAATTCATACAACTAATAAGAAATACAAACTATATCATTAAAAAATGGGCAGAGGAACTAAGATTTTTTTTTTTTTTCAAAGGAAGACCTATATTCAGCCAGCAGGTGAAAAAATGCTCAACATCATAATTATCAGAGAAATACAAATGAAAACCACAGTGAGTGAGCTCACATCTGTTATAATTTCCATCATCAAAAAGACAAGAGATAAACATTGGTGAGGATGTGGTGAAAGGAAAACCTTTTACCTTGTTGGTGGGATTTTATATTGGTACATACAGGTATATAAAACAGATTAGAGCCTCAAAAAAAAATTACTACTGTATAATCCTGTAATCTCTCTTCTAGTTATATATTCAAAGGAAGTGAGAACAGACATTTGAGGAAATATCTGCTCTCCCGTGTTCATAACAGCATTATTCACAATAGCCATTACAACATAGAAACAACTTAAGTGTCTGTCAGTACATGAGTGGATAAATTGTGGTGTATACATACATTAATGGAATATTATTCAGCCATCAGAAGGAAGGACATGGGACTTGAGGAAATTATGCTCAATAAAAATGAGTCAGATAGAGAAAGGCAGACACTAGATGGTATCAAGAATATGGAATCCCAACAGAAAAGTAAGGTCAAACTCATAGAGACCAAGAGAAGTAAACTGGTTGTCAAGTGCTAGGATATAGGGGAAATAGAGATTGGTAAAATGGTTTGAACTTTTAGCTATAAGATGAAAATGGTCTAAATATTTAATGGAATTAAATTTTTTTTTCCAATTAGAAGAAATATTTTCATATTGCTTGTTGCCCTTTCTCTATAACAGAAGTGTCAGAGATTAAAGACAATTAGTAAAATATATATGAAAATAATATGTAAATTTTATTTTATTTTATTTTAAATAAACCTTTATTGTTCATATTATTACAAATGTTCCTAATTTTATTTTTCCCCTCCATTGCTTCCCTCCACCAAGTTCTCACCCCACCCTCTGCCCTTTCCCCACCCCCCATTGTCCTCATCCATCCATAGGTGCACAGTTTTTGTTCAGGCTCTTCCTGCACCCCCTCACTTCCCTATTCCCCAAGAATAGTCAGTCCACTCCCTTTCCATACCTCTGATTCTATTATATTCACCAGTTAATATTGTTCATCAGGTTTTTTAATTCCCTTGGCTTTTAGTTTCACTTGTTGATAGTTACATATTTGTTGATCATAATTTTTATCTATATTTTCTTCCTCTTCCTAAAGAACCCCTTTCAGCAATTCATATAATTCTGGTTTGGCGGTGATGAACTCCTTTAGCTTTTTTTTATTTGTGAAGCTCTTTATCTGGCCTTCAATTCTGAGTGATAGCTTTGCTGGGTAGAGTATTTTTGGCTGTAGGTTCTTGCTATTCATCACCTTGAATATTTGCCATTCCCATCTGGCCTGCATGGTTTCTGTTGAGAAATCAGCTGACAATTGTATGGGTGCTCCTTTATGGGCAACTACCTGCTTTGCTCTTGCTGCTTTTAATATTCTCTCTCTGTCTTTTGCTCTTGGAATTTTAATTATGATGTGTCTTGGTGTGGTCCTCCTTGGATTCCTTTTGTTTGGGGTTCTGCGGGCTTCCTGGACTTGTAAGTCTATTTCTTTCCCCAGGTGGGGGAAGTTTTCTGTCACTATTTCTTCCAGTATTCTTTCAGTATATTGCTCTCTCTCATGTTCTGGGACCCCCATAATTCTGATGTTGGTTCGTTTGAAATTGTCCCAGAGGTTTCTTACACTATCTTCAACTTTCTGGATTCTCTTATCTTCTTGCTTCTGTGAGGAGTGTTCTCTGGCTCTTTGTGTTCCAAATCTTTGACTTGATTCTTGCAGTCTTCCATTCTGTTTTTAGGACTCTGTATATTTTTTATTTCAGACAACATATTCTTTATTTCTAGTTGATCCTTTTTCATATCCTCATAGGTCTCGTTTATTTTATCAGCCTTTTCTAGGAAATTCTTGAAAAACCTTATAAGTGTGGTTTTGAACTCTATATCCAGTCACTTCTTTTCCTCCATTTTTTTTTTTTATAAATATATTTTATTAATTTTCCACAGAGAGGAAGGAAGAGGGATAGAGAGCTAGAAACGTCAATGAGAGATAAACATTGACCAGCTGCCTCCTGCACACCCTCTGCTGGGGATGTGCCCACAACCACCGTACATGCCCTTGACCAGATTCGAACCTGGGACCTTTCAGTCCGCAGACCTATGCTCTATCCACTGAGCCAAACCGGTTTTGGCTCCTCCATTTCTTTTGTTTATGATCTGTTTCCTTGTCTCGGCATTTTCACAACTTCCCTGAGTTGGTAGGGTGGCTTTGTGTGCTAAGGTGTCCTATATGGTTCAGTGAGTCATCCTCCCAGTTACCTGAGGTGGACAGTCTTGGTGTAGCCCTTTGTGGGCTGTGTGTGCAGTCTTGTTGTTAAGCCTTGCTTGTTGTTGGTATCACTGGGAAGCGTTGATCTCCAAGCCAATTGGCTATGAGGATCAGAAGTGTCTCAGCTAGCAGGGTTTCTGTATTCCGCGGAGTCTCGGGGTGGCACAGACAAGCTTTGTTGAATCCTGCACAATTGGTTGCAGGCACGCGCACCTTTTTGGTATAGGCGCAGACAAGCTTTAGATTCCTGTCTGTCACTCCCTAGGAGAGTCCCATTCACTGCGAACAAGAAAGCTAGCCACTGGGAGGGCTTCTGTGCTCTGCTTGGATGTGGCAGAGTTTCGGGTGGTGCAGACAAACTTTATTCAGCTCCTCCCTACAAAGGTCTGGTTTCTGAGTCCCACAGTAATGGCTGCTGGCTTCACACACCTCCGAGAGATCTCTGCCCACTGCCTGACAGTCTGGCCTCTCCCTGTCTGGGGCTGTCGCTCCGCAAGCAAGCCGGCAGTGAAGTCGAGTGCCGCCTTTTCACGCGTACAGTTCTCTGCACCTTCACATTTCCTGAGGTTCAGCGTGCCTTCTCTCTCCTTTCCAGATGGTAGAGCCTCCTCTCAGCCAGCCATCCGGCGCTTCAAGGCAATATTTCCCCTGTTTTTCAGTTCTAAATTCAAATTTGTTTTGGTAGGCTGCGTTCGGGTGTCTACCATATGCCACCATCTTGGTTTCTCCTATAACCTTTACTCTTTAGGGAAAAGGTTTGGTTACACAAGTCTTATTTTTAGCATGTATAGAATAAATAAACATGAGGTAGCATCAACTATTCATTGTCTGTGGCTTGTCATGGTTCTAAATTTGGAATTACCAAAACTCTTATTAAAATTTCTTCTCCCATTGTCATAGCATAAGTTGTTTTTTTAATGAAATAGATTACTTTACTTATGTGGTTCAGACATGAGCAGGCAAGATTTTCCCTAGATTGAAGCCTCCTATTGACCATGAGTCACTGCATTATACACACACACACACACACACACACACACACACACACACTAGAGGCCCAGTGCATGAATTCGTGGCATGGGTGGGATCAGGTCGGGGCAGCCCAGGGGAGGGTCTGCAGGTGGTTGGCGGGTCAGCCCTGCCCCCTGGTGGAACTCCTGGTCGAGGGGACAGTTTGCATATTAACTTTTTATTATATAGGATGGTATCTCAGGAACCTTTGCCAATTATTTGGTGAACCTATAGAAGTTGCCAGTACAATAAATCTCACTTAAACTTGTCCATTAGGTTCTTGGAAACTGACTTTATGCAAAATGATATATAACAAAACCAATTTTACCTTAGGCTGAGATAAACAAGAGTTAAGTTCTTGAGACATATTTCTAGTGACAGAAACATCACCAAACTTCCTATAATAAAGAGATGATATGCTAATTGTTGTTCATGCCATCACAAAGATGGAGGTGCCACAGCCAATAAGGAGGAAATATGCTAATTGACTGCCATGTCCTTAAAGATGGTGGCACCTATAGTAATAAGATGGTGGCACTCAGTCCTCTAAGCCCCAGCAGGGTGGCAGGCCTGTGACTGCTCCACGCTCCTGCCTCCAGAGTCCCTCAGTCCTCCAGCAACGCAAGGCCACCTGAGGCTCAGGTAACCAGAGCCGGCCGAGGCTTGTGCTGCTGGCAGCGGCAGCAGCAGAGGTGAGTTGGGGGCGTCGCCTTCCCCTGATCGCTAGGTTGCCTCCCACCCCTGAGAGCTCTCGGACTGTGAGGCTGGGCAGGCCGAGCTGAGGGACCCACACTCCAGTGCATGGATTTTCATGTACCAAGCCTCTAGTCTAAATATAAAGATCCCCAAACCCTTCTAATATTAAACATTGAAATAAATGTGAGCTACACATACATTTAAGGAAGGTGAATAAAAACAAGTAAGATAGTTATTTTCCAACCAGTTTATTCTCAGTCAGGATCATAGGTGGCCGGAGCTTGTCTGGGCAGCTCAGGGTGCCCGTGGGGTTCCACCCTGGACTGGATGCCCCGTTACTGCAGGGAGCACTCCCAGGCTCTCACTCACACTGGGACGATGTACATACAACCTTACCTCACACCCTTGGGGTATAGGAGGAAACCTGAGTCCCTGGAGAAAACCCATGCAGAGACGGAGAGAGCAAACACACTCCTCTTCAGTGTTATAATGAAACGACGTTGTTCAAGGACCTGCTGTGCTTCTAACCGAAAGGAGACCAGCTTGGCATTTATATATTTACAATGTCCCTGGCACAGTTCTGTGCTGTGTTCTATCCTTAGCTCACTTAATCCTCACACCATCTCTTGAGTTATATATAGTATTATCAGACCATTTTACAGGTGAGAAAACCATGACAAAGGTTAAGTGAATTTTCAACAGTCCTTAATTAACAGTTAAGTATAAAAAGACTTCTTTATTACTATTATTATTATTATTATTATTATTATTATTAAAAAGGAATGTGGAAACACAGGCTAAGGTAAGTCTTATCTGGATAGAAAATAACTAGCATGGGCCCATTCTGTGTTTACTGTGTGTGTCCCTGTAGAGGTAACAGGCAGAAGAGATTATGGAGTCATTACTTTCTAACCCCCCCCCCATCCCCCCCAAAATAAATAAATAAATAAAAGCTTTTACAGAAGTCTTCAGACTTTTCACAAAAGAGCAGTGAGAATGAATTTCTCAGGAGCTTGGAAACGGTTGTCCGCACATCTCTCTGAGGAGAGGCGATTAAAACATGTACACACATTCCTGGTGCTTAGGAAAACCTCGCTGTTCTCCCTCATAGCTGTGAGCAGTGTGTGCATGGGCCGGAGACATAGGACATGTGCGTGAATGAGGGTCTGGGAAACACCCAGGTTCTCTCTGCAGCTACTAAAGATCTTTAACGAATCAACGTTTTACATTTCAGGGGGAAATGAAACACTAAGCTGGACTTAGGCTTGCATGTTTAGCATTTGTGGTTCCTTCTCTTCTAGGTGCTGATCGAGATTGCTAAGAAGCTAGGACTCCGGTACCACTCAAAAGGGACTATGCTCACGATCGAAGGGCCGCGCTTCAGTTCACGGGCAGAAAGCATCCTGTTTCGCACCTGGGGGGCAGATGTTATCAACATGACCACAGTTCCAGAGGTGGTTCTTGCTAAGGAGGCTGGACTCTGCTATGCAAGTATCGCCATGGCAACAGATTACGATTCCTGGAAGGAGCACGAGGAAGTGGTAGGTGGAATTCTCTCCAGAGCATGTATTGGCCTGGCTTGCCAGGTGCCATGAGTCCCAGTAAGAAAAGATCTTAACTGTGTTTCTATTGCATCCATTCCAGAAAGCACCTTTCTGCTAGGTTTTCAAGTCAGCGTTTAATACATTGTCATTAGTATTACTGCCAGATATTTTCTGTTGTTGTCTTTGGAAAGTAAGGACCAAGACCTTCATAGCAGAGAAAAACACACTTTTATCTAAGGATTAGCAGTGACCAGTACATGGTAGGCATGCTGGGAATCATACTGAGATTTGGACTTTATTATTATTTTTTTTAATATATTTTATTGATCTTTGTATATAAAGGATATAAAGGATCTTTGTATATAAAGGGATAGAGAGTTAGAAACACTGATGAGAAAGAAACATCGATCAGCTGCCTCCTGCACACCACCCACTAGGGATATGCCTGCAACCAAGGTACATACCCTTGACTGGAATTGAACCTGGGACCCTTGAGTACACAGGCCAACACTCTATCCACCAAGCCAAACTGGTTTCGGCATGGGCCTTGTTTTAAGGATAAAGGTCTTGGTTATAATTTCCTTGTGCAGTGCTACTGTCTGTGTTTTGTTTTTTTTTCCAAAGGAAAAAAAACTTACTGTTGCTTAATATCTTTCTGGTAAGTGAGCTCTGTTCATAGCTATCTGTTTACCCTACCAAGACTGGATACCATGTTTGGTCTGGGAGTAGGACAGCAAACAAAAATGGTTGGTAGGGAGCCAGCATTGTGTTTTTCACAAGGGGGCGTGGTTAGAGATTAAGCAAACGAATGTAAGAAAGTTCAGGTGAGATACAGACGGATGAATCTGGTTGATTCAGCCAAATATTTGCAGTCGGGGAAGCTTCCTTATGTAATGGAAAAGGCGGACTGTGCTTGAGTGGAGAGGAGAGGAGGGAGCAAAAAGGAAGCAGGACCGATGAGACTGTTTCAGATGGGAAGTCAGCGAGGGGCTTTAGGTAATAAAAATGGCCTGGTCCAGCCGGACTGTTGAGGTCAGGCTTCCAGGACAAATACTTCCATTGTGGAAAACTTTGAACATCTTCGAAAGTAGAGAGTCTAGTATAATAAACCCCAGTGACCTGTCCCCGAGCCTTCCAGGTATCGGCCATGGCCCACTTTGTGTCATACATATGCCCCTACCCACTTCTCTCTCCCCTGCCTTCATAAGTAAATGGTTTTTATAACGGCCTTTTAGAATATATCCTATATAATAAAGAGGTAATATGGAAATTGACCATCACTCCAACACAAGATGGCTGCCCCCATGTGGACAAAAGATGGCCAGCAGGGGAGGACAGTTGTGGGCAATCAGGTTAACAGGGGCGGGCAGTTAGGGGTGACCAGGCTAGCAGGGGAGGGCAGTTGGGAGCGACCAGGCTGGCAGGGGAGGGCAGTTAGGGGCAATCGGGCCGATAGAGGAGCAGTTAGGCATCAATTAGGCAGGCAAGATTAGGAGCCAACAGTCCTGGATTATGAGAGGGATGTCTGACTGCCCATTTAGGCCTGATCCCTCATTGAGGGGTCCCAGATTGGAGAGGGTGCAGACTGGGCTGAGGGACACCCTCCCCGCAAGCTCCCCCACCTCCCCCCCCGCCCTGTGCATGAATTTTGTGCACTGGGCCTTTAGTGTATATGTATGTACGTATGTATATAGTACATGGTGAAGTGATATTTATTTGTGTGTGTGTATTGATTTTAGAGAGAGGAAGGGGGAGGGATAGAGAGATAGAAATATTGATGAGAGAGAAACATTGATTGGTTGCCTCTTGCATGTCCCTCACTTCAGGGATCAAACCTATAACCCAGACATGAACCCTGTCCAGGAATCGAACTAGTGACCTCTTGGTTCATGGGTTGACACTCAACCACTAAGCCATACTAGCCTGGCTGAAAGCTTCTTTTATAAATAAAATAGTAAAAAAACAAACAAATCAAAACAAACAAACAAACAACAAAAAAACAGAACCATTATTGTACAAAAAATATTGTTATTAATTTCTTAATATACTCAAATATTTAGATGGGAGAGACAGAAACATCAACAATGAGAGGGAATCATCGATCAGCTGCCTTCTTGCATGCACCCCACTGGGGATCATCATGCCTGCAACCCTGGCACGTGCTCTGACCGGGAATTGAACCGTGACCTCCTGGTTCATGGGTTATTGCTAACCCTGTGAGCCACAGTGAACAAGCCAGTCAAGTAATTTTGAAATAAGAAAAAGTATAGTCCTAGCTGGTTTCGCTCAGTGGATAGAGAGCATCGGCCTGCGGACTGAAGGGACCCAGGTTCGATTACCGTCAAGGGCATGTGCCTTGGTTGCGGGCACATCCCCAGTAGGAGCAGAAGGCAGTTGATCGATGTTTCTCTCTCACCTATGTTTCTAGCTCTCTATTCCTCTCCCTTCCTCTCTGTAAAAAAAAAAATCAATAAAATATATTAAAAGAAAAGGTTGGGGGGGGGAGTGTAGGGGTGGCTGCTCTGAGCACATTTAGGACAGGTGACATCTTCTGCAGGGGGACCCTTCCCCCCACCTCAGCGCTGCTTGTTTGACCACCCCGTTGCATGTAACTCAGGGATATTCTTGCTGTCTGCTCATTTACATGGATTTTCAGCCCTAGGTGACACAGGTTCTGTGTTTTGCCCGGTGCCTTATCTTGACCCTTCTGTGTAATTAACTACAAGGATGCTCCTTTTTATATATATATATATATTTTTTTTTTTTTATTAAGGTATTATATGTGTACCTACCTTACCAATCCCCACCCCACCCCCACTCCCATACATGCCCTCCCTCCCCAGAGTTTTTTGTCCATTGGTTATGCTTATATGCATGCATACAAGTCCTTCGGTTGATCTTTTATCTCCCCCATATCTCCCTCCCCTCCCCGCTGTAATTAGACAGTCTGTTTCTTTTACTGTCTCTGTATCTATCCTTTTGTTCATCAGTTTATCATGTTCCTTATTATCCATAAATGTGTGAGATCATGTGGTGTTTTTCTTTCATTGACTGGCTTATTTCACTCAGCATATACCTGGCCCATTATTCAACAAGTTACTCTTCTGTGGGATGGAGGCAGGACTTCGGGGTGCGGGCCGTGAGTGGTTCAGTTACATGTCTGATCTGGCTAGGTTACTGGGAGAATTAAGCCACATGGAGTGTGTTAGAGCAACTAGTTTAATGCTGGCTCCCAGGAGGTTGGTCACCACATAGTAGCAGCGATGGGGGTGGAGGTAGAAAGACTACAACGTTTGTGAAGGAAACTTGAGAATTGAGCTGGTCCTTCCACAGAGGGTTAGATTTGAACGTGAGGAGGTTAATAGGGAGGCATTTTGGGTGGAGCCCAACAGCAGGAACAAAGAGAACAGAAGTCAGTCTATATGGAAATACCAGTCACAGGAAGTGTAAGGACATGAGTAAGTGTAAGGGAAACTTCTTGCACGCTTTATGACCCTTCATTTCAAGGATCCACGTGAATTGTGCCCGAACGCAAGCTTGACAGGCGCCCAGCTGGTCACCGCTCTGTGTTCCCACGTAATGGGACTCCCTCTGCCGGACTGATGGTCTTGTCTAACCACATCCTGGTGTTTGTGGGAGGGGTCTGGACTTCATACTCCAGGAAACCAAGTGGAAGCTGAAATCGCTGGGCCCTGAAATTTGGATTTCTTCTAAGTAGAGTGAAGTGTGACAAGTGCTCTTCCTCTAACAGGCCAGGGTATAGTCACAGCTTTTTCCACTCTTTCCTTAAGAAGCAGTTTTAGTGACAGACAAAAGCAGACACTCCTATGGGTTTCTGTGAATCCAACGTCCACCATTATCATATCAACTTCTAGCCACTCGTATTTCATCTGTCCGTGGATCCATAGCTCTGTCCATCAACATGTTAGGAGATACCTAACGTAGCCACCTTGTCCTGGTCACATTCCAAACAGAATGCCTTACCTTTCCCAGGCAGAGTTCGTGTTTCCAGCTATCTCAGCTATCTCAGATGATTTCCTCTTCCAAATTTTCTAAAAAGAAACCAAGTGATTTGACAAAAACATATACTTTTCCACAGTCTGAATTGTTGAAATCATCTCCTCAGGGTAGTTTGACCAGATTCTCTGTCCTCTGTATTTTATGTAAATTGGTAGCTGGATCTAGACTTAATCAAATTCGGGTATTCTACGTAGGGTTTAGTTTTCCATCAGAAGAGTAGGTTGTTTATTTGGTTTGGGTTTTATGTGAGGGGGTGGGGGGGTGTTAGCAGTGTATCCATTAATTCATTGGGAGCTATTAAAATAATGATACTCTGACTTCATCATTTTTCTTTATTAGCTGGAAGACTTCTCTCAAGAGAAATGTTTCTTTTCGGACCAGTTGGTTATCCAGTGTAGCAACAGTTTTGTGACTGGATCCATTCTGTGTCCTGAGAAGAACAGCCACAGCTTTCTAGAGCTGCTAACACATTACACCTCTGTAGAGAGTTTCTTAGAATTCATTTTGCAAATGGTACTTTTCAGAGGTGTTTGTTTTCTCTAAGACCTCCTCCGTGGGACCAAGACCATCTTGATAAATGCAAAATTTGGCCGGGGGGCACCGTGGGGTTGAAACTAGAATCAACTGACTTCACAGATCAGGGCGGAACTTAGGGAGATGTTCCACAAAAAGCAGTGTGATTTTTTTTTTTTTTTTAATTGATGGAAACATCCTATGCTGTTGTTTCTCTAGGTTTCGGTGGACCGGGTTTTAAAGACCCTGAAAGAAAATGCCAATAAAGCCAAAAGTCTGCTCCTCACGACCATCCCTCAGATAGGTTCCATGGAATGGTCAGAAACCCTCAATAGCCTGAAGGTAAGTATCCCGAGCCATCTGCACGCAAACACCACGTTCACATCCTCAGCTGGCTCTTTCCTCTTATGCCCATCTCTCCCTTGGGACACCCCCTCCTGTGTTTTATACTAGCCTCACTGTTTCTGCAAGTTCTCCTTCCATTTCCTTCCATAGTAGCCATTTGTGATACTGGGCAGCTAGAGCTGCCTGGTAATGCGAGACCATTGGAAGTAGGGGCGGGGAGAGTTTGATCATCTACTGTGCCAGATTCTTGGCACGTTTCCGCCCTGCAGCATTTCTCTGAAGTCCCACTTCAGAAGACGGATAGCTCTTCTCTGCACGTGGCCTGTGTAGCCAAGGAAGCTGTTTTTTTTTCCTTTGGCCGATCCATGCAGAGTGGTTGCAGCCTTTAAAGCTAAAACTGACAGAGTAGTAATAAGATGGTGCCGGGGAATGTCTGCTTACTCCTCATGTTGCATCTTAACTAAGAGTCATTAGTGATAAACACTGGGTGGGTTGCAGGTTGTTAACTTTCCCTTTTTTTAATTTATTTTTAGTGATTTCAAGAGAGGAAGAGAGAGGGAGAAAGAGATAGAAATATCAATGATGAGAGAGAATCATTGATCAGCTGTCTCCTACCCACCTTCTGGGGATTGACCCACAACCTGGGCATGTGCCCTGACTGGCAATCGAACGGTGACCTCCTGGTTCATAGGTTGACACTGAACCACTGAGCCATGCTAATCAGGCAGTAGCTTTTCAACTGTAGTATTAACTCCCTGAATATACAGAGTGGGGCAAAAGTTAGTCTTGCAGTTGCTCAGGTGGAAAATAAGGAAATAATTAGTAGTAATACAAGAATAAACTCTGTAAGCCTACTTTGCCCCACCCTGTAATTTAAACTGACTGCCACACTCAGAGATGGATGGTTTTTATTTGGACGTGTTGTGACTCTTGATTAACCATGTTAGATGTGGAGTTGACTCAAACTGGTCAGATTTTGCATTCACCGAATATCCAAAGAGGGTAGCCAGTATGTTCTGAGGTCTCCTAGGACACACCTCTACCCTGAGGACTTATTCCAGGATGAGAAAGGATTTGAAAGGTTGGTATAAGCCTTCCCTACCCCAATTACCATCAAGGAGCCCTGAAACAAGAGCCATAATTTGAGTGTGATGAGGACGCAATATGGTAGGGAATGATTGATAACCCCTGGGTGTGGGGAAGTCATGATTTATAGTGTTTGCCAGTTTACGTGGTATAAATGCTCGAGCATAGCTGACTTTAAGATACCAACATGAAGCCACTGATTACACGTAGATAGGTCTCGTAAGCTGGTACGAGCAGGCTCCTGCACACCAGTATAGTTATGGTGCCTTTGGGACTGACAAAGCCAGAAATATGGGATTTGTAACCTATCTTTCCTGTTAGACTTTGAAGTCCATAAGGAACAAGAAACATCAGTTGGTTTCAACCTATATTCCTAGGAGATAAATGTCCTTTAATGAAAAATAATCCCTTTCCTCCATGAAGTATTTGATCATATCTAATAATAATAAAAGTGTAATATGCTAAGAAGACCAGACAGCCCAATGACCTTCAGGACCTCCTTCTGGACATAGCCTCGGCAGCAGGGCAGAGGCAGAGTGGTTAGGGGCAATCAGGCAGGCAGGCAAGTGGTTAAGAGCCGGAGGTTTCGAAGGGGTACAGGCCGGGCTGAGGGAGACAACTTCCCCCCAAGTGCACGAATTTTGTGCACCGGGCCTCTAGTTGAAATATAAAAGCCCTTATTGAAGAAAAGAGGACTAGAAAATAATAAGAATCTTATTTATATAATAGAGAAATATGCTAATTAACCAGGAAGCTGTAACAGGTCTACCAGACAGGAGTGGTTGCACACACAGTGTCGGGGGCGGGACAGCAGGGGCCTCCAGGAGCCTGCGCTTGGGGAGGGCCTGATCAATAGCAGCTGCAGCTGCTTCAAGGGCCGGAGAGGGAGGCAGGGCCAGACAGCCAAGGCTGCTGCGGGGCCCAGAGAGCCCAGCGATTCCAGGGTGGGCGGTGCCCTGTGATTTCGAATTGGGCACTTGGCTCCTGGTTGGAAATAATAAGAATTGGGGAATGTCTGTTTAGAAACGTTACATTTCCCTGAGCGTAATGTGCATCTATATATATATATATATAAAAGCCTAAGTGACCATGACGGCAGAACGACCGGTCACTATGGTGCACACTGACCACCAGGGGGCAGATGTTTAACACAGGAGCTGCCCCTGGTGCAGCCAGAGCCGGGCTCATGGCTGGCAAGTGCAGCCTCACAGGAAGGGAGTGTAGGAGCTCCTATGGTAAACATGCAGATTTCCTGGAGAGTTTATTAAAAGTGTATGTCTCATGAGTTTTCACTCTAAAGTCAAAACATTTTTTTTTTACAGCATTACGGTAAAATCATGCATAAAACCAGTAACTGCTTGGTTAATTATAATCTGTGCCTACTTTTTTTCCTTTCAGAATATGGCCCAGTTCTCTGTTTTATTACCAAGACATTAAAATACAGCAGGACTTCCCAGAAGATAAGACTTTCTAATTCTAGTCATTTGGGGAATTCCTGCTTGATCTGAGATGTGGAAAAGCTTTCGTGCCCTTGCCCGCTGAGGAAGAACCAGTGCTGAGACCGTGCCAGTGTGAGAGATGCCTTCCGGAAGTCATGGACTGCTCCAAAACACAGGGAAGCGAATGACCAGTAAACGTGGGAAATTCCTACCCTTTAGAAAAAAAGACAAGAAGATGTCATTCGCCCTTCTCCCATTAAATTCATAACAGTAATGCGTGGGAGGTGCAGATTCTTATGTGGCCTGTGAATATGAAGACAGAATAGGACTCGGACTGTTTGCTGGTGGCACTGTGCATGTGTAGTCTTTCTGGAGAGCTGTTTGGTAAATGTACCAAAAGGCTTAAAAATACTTAATACCCTTTTTGCTGGCCACTCTGCTCCTTTTATATTGAAAATTTTATCTCTTAAAAAATTAGAAATATGGTAGTAAATGAAAACTGCAAAGAATTATGTGTAAAGAAGGCTGTTTTATATAGTGTCAGTTTTAATAGCAAAGATTCAAAATCATCTGAATATCCAAAAATTAGAGATACATTATGGTTTGTCTCTAATTAGATTATGAAGGAGCCAACTGAAGGCCATGTTTTTTATATAATATTTAATGTCCTAAAGAATTGGTTGCTGTAGCCGGGACCGGTTTGGCTCAGTGGTGGAGCGTCGGCCTGCGGACTGAAGGGTCCCGGGTTCGATTCCCGTCGGGGGCATGTGCCGTGGTTGCGGGCACGTCCCCAGTGGGGGGTGTGCAGGAGGCAGCTGATTGATGATTCTCTCTCATCGATGTTTCTGACTCTCTATCCCTCTTTCCTCCTCTCTGTGAAAAATCAATGAAATATATTTAAAAAAAAAAAAAAAAAAAAAAGAATTGGTTGCTGTATAATATTAAATGGGCGGGGAAGGACGTGTGAGCATTTTACAGTACTGATTTTGTTTTAGAATTCTACATACCTGTGCAAAAGAAGACTAGGAAAGCATAATCTTTTATTATACTTTGGGAGTATATTGGACCATTTTAACTTCCTTTATTTTCTGTTTTCAAATTTTTTTTTCCTACATGAATATAATCAAAGAATATAGTTGTTTTAAAAATAAAAATTATTGAGAAAGATCCAGCTGTTGAACACATTGTTTCTGCTAATGAGGCAAAAATTAAAGATGGTAATAATAAGTTCTTTTTGAGTTCCATCTTTATTTTGTAAGAAAAGAAAAAGTTCATTAATGACTTGAACAGTCTTCGAGATACTTTGGTTTGCAAACAACATCATGAGAAGAGATAAGCAGTTAACACTTAAACTTCCGAAGAGACTACATACACACATTATAGTGTGCCAGATATTTTTAAAATTAACATTTTATTATTAACTTTAAAGGAATGGGTTTTCTTTTCTATCACAGACAGATCTTTTTTCCTCGGGATCATTAATTTTTACTGTGGTCTATTATACAGGGTCCTTGAATAATGTAGCTTTTGTCCATTCAAAGGGTATGGAAAGTCAGTGTGTTTGTGTCTGCAAGATTGCCTTCAAGATTATAAGCTACTGACGGTAAACAGTGAAATAAGCCAGTTACCCTCCAGCATTAATATTGAGCTGTCTGGGTTACATGTGATCATGTCTCGGATTCTCTAATGCAGTGGTTTCAACTCTCCTTGCACATGAGAGACCCACAAAAGACCTCATGGATCTGAACCCAGGATTCTCTGGCTCCAGCCAGTAATTGTTTTCACGCCCCTGTAAAATATACCACCCCCTACTTCCCTTCATTCTTAGATGTCTGAAGATGTGAAGGTGAAGAGACTTTGACCATTTATTCTTGGTATGCTGCTCGCTTTTTCTTTCTTTTTTTTTTTTTCTTTTCTTTTTTAACAAAATTAACATTGTGATCAGTTTTGAGCATTTGGAAGTTTCCTTAGTGCAGTGGTTGGCAATCTGAGGCTCGTGAGCCACATGTGGCTTGTTGGCCCCTTGAGTTTTTAGCAAAGGCCAGCTTAGGAATACCCTAATTAAGTTAATAACAATATACCTACCTATATAGTTTAAGCTTAAAAAATTTGTCTCATATGAAATTTCAATCATTGTACTGTTGATATTTGACTAATGAGTTTGCCAACCACTGCCCTAGTAGATTATGGGCATAATAGAAAAGTTCTAGCTTAGTGACTTAAGTCCTTGGGAGAGTGACCAGTTACTGATTAGTATATTCATATTTACTTACAAATCTGTATTGATATTATGATCTACTTATTATTCTTTTCCTGATTTTTGAGGATGGACCATCAGAATAGTTGGTGCATGGTGTTAACCAAGAGTGGAGAAGGCTGGGTTACGTTTGAGATCTGAGAATGTTTTGCTAATTAGCCTCAGTATTTCCTGGAGTTGTTTATACTGGGCAACTGAAAAATGTGCCTGATTTCATAGATATTTGTTGGAGAGCACATTTTTATAAAGCAAAAAAACAAAAGCATTTGATGGTTTCAGTTAGGGAAGATTAAAAGGAAATTGTCAGTGTTTTCGGAACTATGCCCTCAGTTTTATAGATGATTCAGGCTTAAAAAGTCCACACATTGGAATGTGATGACGCATTCATAAACTGCTTCTTTTGACCTCACTCTAGTTTACAAATGCCCCCTCCCTCCAATAAAAATCAAGATCACAAGGCTAACATAGTAATAGGAAAGCCATTTCCAAATCTATACAAATTACCCAGCGTTAGGAATTATCTCAGCCAGTCTGTCTTCTAAACTCCCACCCCCTAGCCTCCTCCCATGTTATTTTGAAGCATGTCATATCACATAATTCAGTCCATGCATATTTCAGTGTTGCTTCTAAACACTATTTTTAAGATAATCACAAAACCATTATCCAAAAAAAATGAATAAAAATTCCTTAATGTCACCAAAAATGTAGTGGATATTCAGAAGTTAAGATGTTTCTTAAATGACGTTTTTTACACATCATTTATTTGAAACAGGATTCACTTACAGGTCATACAGTGCAAGTGGTTGATGTGTATTTTCTTTTCATCTCTGTTCCCTCACCCTCTTACTAACTTTCCCTTTCTCCTCCCCTCCTCACCTTTTACCTTTCACATTTTCTCTGTGTCCTAACAGTCTCTGTGGTGAAATAAATCTAGTTTGTCCTTGAGAGTTAAATATGACCCAGGTTCTTGTAACTGCATCCCATAATGTAACTTAACGGTCCTCTGTCCTCTGTATTTTTTCTAACTGAAAAATTGAATCTAGACCTTTTTCAAGACTACTTTAGAGGAGGTGGTGTGTTCTTCCATAGGAGGGACAGAATGTCTCATCTCTTGGATATTAGCAGCCATCAGCTTCAGATGCCTTTATCCATTAATTCAATGAGTTACAAAAATTTTTTCCAGTTCAAAGGAACCTTCATGTAACCCCTGAAAAGTAAGGTGACAGCCTCCTTGTTTGAATTAAGATTAAAAAAGATATACACAGAAAGAGCATTTCATACAATTTAAGTCATTAATAGCAAACAATCAAAATCCTGTAGAATTTAAGACTGGATCAGATATATACTATGAAACACATATTTGAGAAATGATTCAGAACAAAGCCAGAGGAAGAAAAAGTAATCAGTGAGACTACCTTAAAATTTTTTTTGTTAATCCTCACACAAGGATATTTTTTCCATTGATTATTCGAGAAAGAGAGAGAAACATGAATGTGAGAAAGACACATTGATTGGTTGCCTCCTGAATGCACCCCAACGAGGGTCCAGGATTGAACCTGCAACCCTTAGGTGCTTGGGCTGATGCTCTAACCACTGAGCTACTGGCCAGGACTAGGTGGATTTTTGAAAGAACTAAATGGGCTCTAGCCAGTGTGGCTCAGCTGGGTGAGCACTGAAAGGTTGCCGACTTGATTCCTGGTATGGGATGTGCAGGAAGTAGTTAATGGTTGTTCCATTCTCACATGGGTGTTTTCTCTCCCTTTCCCTTCTCAAGAAACAAACAAAAAACAGATTTTTTTAAATGTTAAAATAAATACTACTAACGAAAATTTGAATTTAAAATATCAATAAAATTTGAAATCTAAAATTATTCAGGACATTACAGATGGATTAAAAACTCAAGAAGAAAAAAAAAACTCAAGATGTATCGAGAAATAGAGGTGAAAATATGATAGTTGGAAATGTAAGATAAATATAGCACGAGTTCTAACAAATCTTATTAAAGGGAATATGTGTCCCAGAAAGAAGAAGTAAGACGGGGGATGTGACCGACTTTGGCATGACGGTATGAGGAACGCGACTCACCAGCAAAACTCCTGAATATTATTTTAAAACAATCGCTTAAAATCTCAATATGGTTGAAGTATGGCAACTAAAGAAACACATATTCAAGAAAATTTATTAGCATGTTACAAGAACAGGGAGAGCCCATGGCATGTGAACTGAAATCACTTCTCCCAACTCAGCAAGATGGGAACCAGACGGGTGCAGCCAAGGACACGAGGCCCCACCTCCTCAGCTCCCCGTGGGAGGGCTGTCAACTCCGGATGTCAGTGTTTCTCATCCTGCTCCCACCTGTTGTGGTCAAGTGTAGGTGAGAGGCAGGGCTTCTCTTCTGCCCACCACCGAGGAGGTTCTACACTGAGTGGTGCTGCTAGCAATATGGGGGGCTCTAATCATCTCTCTGCTGGCTGGTTAGGCAGTGATTCCAGCAAAAAAAAGCTAAAGGGCTGAAACTAGTTTGGCTCAGTGGATAGAGTGTCGGCCTGTGGACTGAAGGGTCCCAGGTTGGATTCTGGTCAAGGGCATGTACCTTGGTTGTGGGCATATCCCCAGTGGGGAGTGTGCAGGAAGCAGCTGGTTGATGTTTCTCTCTCATCGATGCTTCTAACTCTCTCCCTCTCCCTTCCTAATGAGAGGGCAGGGCGGGGCAAGGATGAGCTCCCGACTCCGCCCCACAG